GCAGCTCCTGTCTTCAGCCGGAAGACAGAAGCCGCCGAATTGCCGCCGCGGCGGAAACGCGCCTGCCGCCCTAACGGCACCTGGACTGTCCCACCGTCCGCGGCGGCAAAAACAGTAGAGCCGGCCCTGCCCCCCCGGTTCTCAGCACCCCCAGAGAGCCGGTAGCCCGGCCCCCAGGTGGGCAGCTCCGAGCACTGCCCCGAACGGCCCCACGCTGGCCTGGGGGGGTCTCCTGCTGCGGGACAGGCAGTGCCCAGCCCCGGTCCCGCCCCACCCTGCCGGCAGCCGGGGCCCTAAGGGGACCGGGGCCCCTAACGCTGACGCATCACTGATCTCCCGGCCCCCCCATAGCTGCAGCGGGAGGGGCCGGCTCAACTGCAATGCGGCCGCGTCTGGTGCGGAGCCGGGGAGGGGGGAGAGCAGCCGCCAGCCCCCAGTTCATAGGTCAGCCGGGGGCATGTGCCCCACTGAGCCCCCCGCAGATCTCAGGGGGGCAGGGATGGCACAGAGGGGCCCAGCAGGCCAGGCGGGCGGGCGGGGGGCGGTTATAATACAGCCCCCGGCCCACAGCCGGGCGGGTTCTGCCCATGGCGTGACCCCTTTGCCACCGAGGCAATCCCCAGCCGCGCCAGCAGGTGTCTCTGCTGCACAAGGGACAAAGCTGCAGCAGCCCTCGGGAGCTGCGGGTCGGGAGTGAGGGGCACCGGCAGGGCTGGGCTGGTCGGGGCTGCGGGTCGGGAGTGAGGGACGCCGGCGGGGCTGGGGGGCAGGGCTGGGCTAGCAGGGGCTGCGGGTCGGGGGGGGGGGGGACCGGGGGGGGGGGGGGGGGGGGGGGAGGGGGGGGGGGGGCTCACATTGTGAGTAGCTCACATTGTGTGTGTGTGTGTGTGTGTAGGGGGTGCATAGCCCAGGATCGATGCCCAAACAAGGCAACACGTGAGGCCTGTGCAGGGGGGGAGGAAGGGAGCAGAGGCCCAGGCTCTCATCCATCACCAGGCCCTGCTGGCAGCCAGCCCAGCCCAGCCCAGCCCAGCCCAGCCCCGTCCCTGCAGCTTAAACCACAAGGAGCCCTAATTATAGGGCAGCCAAACCCAGAGCCTGGAGCTGCGGGAAGGAAGCCAGGGGCGGCTGAGCCCGCGCCAACCTCCCCGGGTCAGCGAGGTGCTGCTGCTTCCCTGAGAGCTGGAAACACACAGCAGGGGATGCGGGTCGGGAGTGTGGGGCACTGGCAGGGCTGGGCGGGGGGCCGGGCTGGGCCAGCGGGTGGGGAGTGTGGGGCACTGGCAGGGCTGGGGGGGACCCCACTGCC